TCTCTCATCTTTTTAAGTGGGAGAACTTGCACAATTGGTGGCTGACTACTTTTTTGCCCCACTGTAACTTTAGAGAAAGAGGTAAATTTATAATTGTATTTATAACTGCTGTAAAGATCAGAAGCCACTTCTCTGTATCCTTTTTCTTTTATATTTTTCTTTTACTTTCCCCCCTTTTCTTGCACTTTCAGCTTTCTTTTTTCTTCCTTTATATTAGTTCGTATTAGTTTTTATCTTCCTTTTTAAAACTTTTAATAATAATAATAAAAAAGAGTATAGCAGTTCCCTTTTATCTCCTTGCTGAGGATAATGCTAAGCAAGCTTTTTAGCTTGAATACTGTTTCAGGTATCAGAGTCTAAAAAGATACTATGCTCTGCACATTACAGTAAGCCACAGGTGAGAAACTGTGGCACCACAAATGTTCCCGGAGTATAGCTCCTGGCCAACATGCTTAATGGTGAGGGATTCTGACAGTTGTAATTCAACATGTTTCATATCCAGAGTAAGTCACAGATGGCTAGATCAAGACCTCTTCCAGAAAGAAATACACTCAGTGCTATTGTGTGTTATTTGCTTAATATATGAATCATCCAAAAATTAAAGGCAACCTTTAAATTATGTGATACTGTATAAAATTGAACACTTAAAAGGAAAAAAAATGGAGCCTGAATATTCCAGACAATTCTCTCCTCCAAATTTTTCTTTTTTTTAATCTTTGTGTCAGTGTTGACTCTTGGCGACCACCTGGACAAGTCCCTGCAGTTTCATTGGCAAAGTTTTTCAGAAATGATTTGCCATTGCCTCCTTCCTAGGGCTGGGAGGGTGTCACTGGCCCAAGTCACCCAGCTGGCTTTGTGCCTAAGGCAGAACTAGAACTCAGCCTCCTGGTTTCTAGCCTGGTGCCTTAACCACTACACCAAACTTGCTGTAAACTTGGCATTATAATAAGTAGTGTCATTTGAATGGTCATAGACTTTTTCCTTCCATTACAGGTAGTTCCCAGTTTAAGAATGAATTCCGTTACCAAGATCTGTCCTTAAGTCGAATTTGCACGTAAGATGGAACAGTATTATTGTATAAGTAGTATTGTGTAATTAACTTGAACCATGGTGTATTTAACTTGAATTTTGATAGATTAGGCTCTCTTTTTACCTATGGGTCTGTAAACTGGGTGTTCTTAATCCAGGGACTACCTGTATTTGGGCAGTGTGTAGGCATATCTTTTTCTAGCTCATGTTTCCACTCTACAGTTTGAACTATTATTAAAGTACCAACATGATAAACTCCTTTTCCATTCTATCTTACAGATCTGTTTAGTTTTTTCTTTTCCCCAGAAAGAAATGCCCTGCTCCAAAAATGCATTGTTTAGCTTGGTATAAAATCTATAATTAAATCTTAATTAGTGTTTTTCCCCAATTTATCTATTATCTATATGAATTTGATTTCAAAGCTGTTTCT